TTATAGCAGCACAATTCATAATAGTTAAACTGTGGAGCCAACCTAGAGGCCCTTCAGTGGATGAATGGATAAAAAAAAGTGGCATATATACACAATAGAATATTACTCAGCAATAAAAAAGAACAAAATCATGGTATTTTCAGGTAAATGGATGGATTAGAGAAGATAATGCTAAGTGAAGTTAGCCAATCCCAAAATAACAAAAGCCAAATGTTTTCTCTGATATAAAGTGACTGACTCATAGTGAGGTATAGAGCTGGAACATGGGAGGAATAGATGAACTCCAGATAGGGCAGAGGGGTGGGAGGCAAAGGGAGGTGGCAGGAGTTAGAAATGATGGTGGAATATGATGGACATCATTATCCAAAGTACATGTATGAAGACATGAATGGTGTGAACAATAAAAGAAAACAGCAAGAAAAATAAAATAAAATAAAGAAAAAATGTGTACCAACCAAGATTACAATACCCAGCAAAATTATTATTCAGAATTGAAGATTAAATACTCGGACATAAAGAAGAATAAAATTATAATATTTGCTGGTAAGTAGATGGAACTGGAGAACATCATGCTAAGTGAAATAAACCAGACCCAGAAAGTCAAAGGTTGAATGTTTTCTCTTATGTGGATGCTATACTAAAATAAGAAAAAAAAATAGAAAAAGATGTAGGGGAATTTTATAAACATAGAAGAAAGATCAGTAGAATACAGGAAAGGGACAGAGGGGGAGGGAGTAATGATGGGAAAAGAGAAGAACAGTGGAATGAATCTGACCAAAAATTATATATATATATATAATAAGGTTGTGAGTATATCAAGGAGAGTATATATGTATACACATATATATAATCAGGAGTATAACAAAAAAAATATAATATTATATAATATAAAATTTATATATATAAATATTATATATATATATAAGTATATATGATATACTTAAAATTGATATTTACTCTACAGTGAATTTCACCTTTATGTATATCCATAATGTAACAATTTCTTTAAAGAAACTATAAATAAATAGAATAAAGATCAGTAGAGAAAAAAGAACAACCAACTAAGCATGAGTAATGTATGCAAATAACTGAAAGAAATGAAAATGTTCTTGGAGAGAAAAATCACTTGAACATAGAGTAAAACAGTATAGAAGAAAGGTTCTATTAAACAACTAGAAAACAATTTCAAAAGTAACAGTACAAAGTTTCCGCATCTCAATTACCTATAATATACATATATTAAATTCCCCAACAAAAGATACATGGTGAGTGAATGATTAAAAAAAAAAAATACAAGACCTCCCTCTGCCCAAGACTTAACCTGTAGACAATGACTGAAACTGAAAGCATGGAAAAATAGTTCATACAAATACAAACCAAAAGAGAGAGGCATAGCTATACCTATAGCAGACAATATAAACTTAAACTCAAAAATTATAACAAGAAATAAAGAAGGTCATAAAATAATGATAAGGATGTGAGTATATCAAGGAGATATTTACAGTTATGAATATATATGCCACAAATTATAGAGCATCTAAATGTATAATCTAAATATAGACCGGTGTAAAATGAGAGATAGCCAGAAATACAATAACAGCAAGGGAATTCACCACATCAGCTTCATCCAGACAGAAAATAATTAACAAAAATTTAAAAATAGGATATAAAATTTACTCTGTAATGAATGGACCAACACATATACAGAACATTCCACTTATAAATGAAGTATATATTTTTTCTCAACTGTACATTGAATATCCTTTAGAATAGATCCAATATTCAGCCACAGAACAAGTCTTAATAAATTTGAGAAGACTGAAATCATACAGAGTATTTTTTTTCTGGCAGCAATGAGATAATGAGATAATGCCTACACTACATAAAAGTATCTCCATATTTAATTTTATACCTAACAAAATACAAATGACATTCTTCACAGATACAAAAAGATAAATGGGATGAAAGGATCCAAGATGGTGAAGTAGAGGAGATACCGTTTTGAGGATGTGGGGGGAAAGATACACTCATACATTGCTGGTGAAACTGCAAATTGGTGCAGCCAATTTGGAAAGCAATATAGAGATTCCTTGGAAATCTGGGAATGGAACCGCCATTTGAACCAGCTATTCCTCTTCTCAGACTATACCCAAAGGACTTAAAAACAGCATACTACAGGGACACAGCCACATCAATGTTTAGAACAGCACAATTCACAATAGCTAAACTATGGAGCCAACCTAGATGTCCTCCAATGGAAGAATGGATTTTAAAATGTGGCATATATACACAATAGAATATTACTCAGCACTAAAAAAGAATAAATCGTGGAATTTGCAGGTAAATGGATGGCATTAGAGAAGATAATGCTAAGTTAGCCAATCCCCAAAAAAACAAATGCCGAATGTTTTCTCTGATATAAGGGGAGTGACTCATAGTGGGGTAGGGAGGGAGAGCATGGGATGATTAGATTAATTCTAGATAGGGAAGAGGGGTGGGAGGGAAAGGGAGGGGGAAGGGGATTAGCAAGGATGGTGGAATGTGATGGTCATCATTTTACAAAATACATGTATGAAGACTTAAATTTGTTGCCAACACACCTTATATACAAACAGAGATATAAAAATTGTGGTATATATGTGTATTAAGAATTGTAGAAGCTAGCCAATCCCTAAAAAACAAATGCCAAATGTCTTCTTTGATATAAGGAGAGTAACTAAGAACAGAGTAGGGACGAAGAGCATGAGAAGAAGATTAACATTAAACAGGGACGAGAGGTGGGAGGGAAAGGGAGAGAGAAGGGAAATTGCATGGAAATGGAAGGAGACCCTCAGGGTTATACAAAAGTACATACAAGAGGAAGTGAGGGGAAAGGGAAAAATAATAGAAGGGGGAGAAATGAATGACAGTAGAGGGGGTAGAGAGAGAAGAGGGGAGGGGAGGGGAGGGGAGGGGGGATAGTAGAGGATAGGAAAGGCAGCAGAACACAACAGACACTAGTTTGGCAATACGTAAATCAATGGATGTGTAACTGATGTGATTCTGCAATCTGTATATGGGGTAAAAATGGGAGTTCATAACCCACTTGAATCAAAGTGTGAAATATGATATATCAAGAACTATGTAATGTTTTGAACAACCAACAATAAAAAATTTTAAAAAAAGAATTGTAATGCAAAAAAAAGAATAGATGTATAATGGCATAAATTGACATGAACATACTTTATAAACAGAGATAAGAAAAATTGTGCTCTATATGTGTAATAAGGATTGTAATGCATTCCACTGTTGCTGTATATTTAAATAAATAAATATTTTTTAAAAAGTCGGAAAAAAAAAGATAAATGTCACACAATAAGGCTGTAACCTTATCAGATCAATCCCAAAACAGACCAGTTTTACCTGAAGGAAGTGATCTCAGTCTGCCTGAGTCCGCATAATAAACATGAGTCTTATTTTTAATTGTCATCAAAATAAGCAACATGAAGTGTCATAGTATGTACCAATCAGCATTACTTATTGTTCTGATTTATTGTACCCAAGTTAAAAAGTTCTATGGTCTGCCCTGTCCAGTAGGAGCTCTCACTCTACTGATGTATGAATCAGGACAAAAAAAAAAAAAAAAAAGACCTACAACTAAAATTTTTATTTCCAGTTTTGAATAAAACTTGTATATTGGAATGTGAAATAGATGTGGAGCAGAGAGGAATGAGTGGAAAAACTCCACCAAACGAATAATGTGGAAAAATATATATTCATATGGGAATTATAGTTGCCTATTTGATATAATTGAATTTGTTTTTCAAATTGATGTACTCATGAATTGTGTATGCTGTTTTATACTTAATGTTATCTAGATATTAAATTAATATCCTATAGTATGTATGTATGGGAGAGAGAATAAAAGAGAGACATGCCACTTTATTTCTTCATTGTTGTAAAAACATTCAATATTTAAAAGTTTCTAAGTATCACTTGAATCCCACTCATTGGGAAGTTTGCTTTTTATTGATACAACTCATTTAAGGGTCTTCTATTGTTATGATTACAAATAATTAAATCTTATGAGATATACTCTGAGAGTTAATGAAGTAAATTATACAAAGAATTCTTGTTAAATGCTTCAGAAACATTTATGCAATCAAGCTCTGGACTTGGAGGATATTATTTATATGTTTAGCATTAATTGCACCAATTTAAATTTAGAATCTTGTGTCTTTGGAAATCGAATGAATTAATTTCAGAACATTAACAAAGAGATTTACTCTAGACCTCACTTCAAGTGGTAACTAATTGTATATTACATGCATTTCCATAGAGAGCTCTGTCCCCAGGAGCTTTCTTTGCTGATTCATCTGGGATAAGGATACATGAACAGCTTGTGAGAAAACAATGTCTAAGAGCCTCTAAAAGCATACAAATTGCAAGCCCATCAATGATTCTCTGTATTTTTCAACTATTGCCTCTCTAACCAAGGTTTATTTCTCTTTGACACCCTACATCAGCAGAAAGATTAACAGTTCTGAATCTAATTCTTAGATATGTATTTATAAGCTACAGTTTCTTGATCTTGCTGAAATGTTGAAAAACCCAAGTGTAATCCTTTACTATTCTATTTCTATTGGTGAAAATTTATCATAATAAGGTAAGTAAAAAGGAACTTGTTTTTATGGGCCTATCTGAACATTCCCCATCTTATATAAGAGTGAGACTTTCACAGAATACAATTGACTACTAAGGAAAAAACAACATAAATTAAAACATTCATTACCTCATGTAGCTTTCTCAAAATGCTAGTGGATTTTGTTATTGTCTGTGCAACTTTTAGCTGAGAAAGGAAATTTGGTTATCTGTTGCCAGAACATTCATATCGTTGGCCTTACAAGTTTTGCACTCCATCTTAGATTTGTGGATAGTCAGCACATAGTGATGTTTTTCCATTCTTTATAAATCTAACATTTTTGCTATTTCCTTACTACAGGGGAAGCAAATAGGAGAGAATGACTCTCATTAATGAAAGCCACCCAGAGGAGTTCATCCTGTTAGGCTTTGCACACCGTCCTTGGCTACAGCTTCCTCTATTTGTTATTCTTCTCATAACATACCCGATGGCCATGATGGGAAATTTAACCATTATTCTGGTATCCAAGTTAGACCCCCATCTACACAGTCCCATGTATTTCTTCCTCACCAACCTCTCCTTCTTAGACATGTGTTACACCACAAGCATTGTGCCTCAGATGCTGTTTAACTTGGGAACTTCTAAGAAGACCATCAGCTATTTGGGGTGTATAGTTCAGCTTTATTTCTTCAGCATGATGGGGGGCACAGAATGTCTGCTCTTGGCTCTCATGTCTTTTGATCGCTATGTGGCCATCTGCAGACCTCTACACTACACTCTCATCATGAATCAGCACATCCTATTAGTATCCATTGTGTGGCTGACTGGAATGATCTATGCAATCTCTGAAGCTTCTGTTACAGTAAAGTTGCCACTGTGTGACATCAATAAACTGGATCACTTGTTGTGTGAGATTCCAGTTCTGATAAAGGCTGCCTGTGGGGAAAAGGAGGCTAATGAGCTCACACTCTCTGTGGTATGCATTTTAATAGGGGCTGTTCCTCTGTGTTTAATTCTTGCCTCCTATGCTAGTATTGGACATGCCATATTTAAAATCAAATCTTCTGAAGGAAGGAAAAAGGCCTTTGGGACATGTTCCTCTCATCTAATTGTAGTTTTCTTATTTTATGGCCCAGGCATTAGCATGTATCTTCAGCCTCTCTCTTCCATATCAAGGGACCAGCCTAAGTTCATGGCTCTCTTCTATGGAGTCATGACTCCTACACTTAATCCCTTCATCTATACGCTGAGGAATAAGGATGTGAAAGGGGCATTAGGCAAACTGATGAGCCGCATTTTCAGTTCCAAGTAATATTTATTAGGCATGAAATAAAATTATTTAAAAGTTATAGTTGATATGGATGTCTTTAATAACCCATTCTGATATCATAATCCAATATCTTCTTGTAAAACATGTACTATTTTACATGTTCTTCTTGGAAATCATGTACTATTTTTCAAATTCTTCATAAATATTTTAAACAAGAATGATACTCAGCTAATATGCTCCTGTATAGGCAATCTATTTGTGGTAATATATTAAAAATAATAATATTTTGGTCCATACATAGTGAAATAGTAACTTTGTTTAGTAGTAGCAAGATAAATCATAAGATTTAAGAATTATCTCATAGTAATCCTCACAGCATTAGCATGGAAACCATTCCTTTTCAATGGACTTCTTATCAGTTCACCTAAGAAATATTTCATCATTCTGAGATTGGTACATGTCTGTTTGCCTTGTGTGTGAAACACAGTATGCTTTCAAACAATCATGAGTCTCAAAAATTTATCAACCTTGGGCTAGGGATATAGCTTAGTTGGTAGAGTGCTTGCCTTGCATACACAAAGCCCTAGGTTCAAATCCTAGCACTACAAAAAAAAATTGTCAATCTCAATTCATATTGATGCTATTGTTTCTGTGGATCTAAAGGAGTTTTTCTGCTTTAAAGGTCCTGATCCTGGAGACTATTTGACTGAGGCTGGGTTGAATCAAACAAAATAAATCTGGGGTTATCTGAGCTAATGTCATCATGACTATTAGGAAAAGCTCTTGAAATATATTGCTAAGCTTAGCAGTCCATTCATTATTACATCTGAAACATACAAATGAGTTTCTTGGTGTGTTTATGATTTTTTAATTGCCATTAAATTTCATGTATTCTCTTCCATGACAGAATTTTTGATTCAAGGTAATTTGAATACATTTTCCTAGGCCAGAATCAGACATATTTAGCTCATAATAATCTATTTTCTTATATCCTTTAAGTAAAAATCATTACTTTAGGTCAACACTTTCTTAAAAATGCATTATAATTTTTACTTAGTGAATAAGTGCACAGTGTTTTGTATGTTGAATTAAATATATGTATATATATATATATATTTAATATGAATATGCATAGAATACAGATGTTTCTTAATATTCTTTTTAAATATCATAAGCACTCATCACTTTAGTAAAAGAGAGAACACAAAAGTACTAATGAAAACTACAACCTAGCAATATTTCTATGCATAAATTTGAACATCCAGGAATGTCTTTTTTAGATGCAAAGAATCAAAAAGAAAAATATTTTTTTATTTCTGGAATGAAAAGTCACTTGACCACTTCACCAACCAATATACTTTAAATATTTAAGTTTGGGGTTCAAATGATGTTCAAAATTTGTATCACAAAAGAGTAAAAGTGCAAAAATGTAGCTATAGTACTCACGTTCTGCTTTTGATGTTGTTTTCATTGTTTAATGCATTTTTTTCAGAATTCATTTGTTGTTTTAATTTCCAGTGTGAGTCTATTCAGAGAGAAATACATGAGAGGTGATTAGGTCTTGAGGGCCCCTCCCTCCTGAAGGGGATGAAGGCTTTTATGAAAGAAGCTTGCCACAGAGTTTGACCTCTATTACTATTATTATTATTATTATTATTATTATTATTATTATTATTTTATTTTGTTAGGTTGTAGATATGATAACTCCACTTATAGTTGATGAGTTCTGCACCCTTACATGTTGAAATTTGAACATTAGAGAAGCAGGTCGAGGCAAACATATATAGCAGGGTTTATTTAAAAAGGGGTAATATAGACTTCTCTTAGGACGGAGAAGGGGACCATAGCTGGTATCCTGGTATCCCAAGAAGTGAGGTGTTCTGCCCTTTTTATGTCCTAGGCTTCCTTTGTTCTCCTGCTCTCTTCCCCTTATCTTTCTCCTTCCTGCATAGGCGACTAGGCCTAGGAATGCTCAGTGGAGAGGACAAAAGGTGGGAAACAGGTGGGCTGAAGGGGGAAGAGCAGGATGGAGCAGCCCAGGATACATTAATTAACAAATTTATAGCTCCCTATAGGGAGAGGCAATTACCTTACCAACAGGTTGGAGCAGGAGCAGGTGAAGGAAGGACTCTAAAGGAATTAACATTTCAATCCCTCAGGGAATAGTCTCTAACTTCCCTGACTCACTCAAAATTGGCCCCCTTGATCAGACCTGAATTGATTTACCTATCTATACTGACTACCTGTCTAATTCTGGCTTCAGATGACACAATACCTTTATTTAAGTTTTTGTTTATTTTAATGTGGTGCTGGGGAGCAAACCAAGTGCCCCAAGCATATTAGACAAGTGCTTTACTGCTGAGCCCCAGCCCTAGCCCCAGAGTTTGGCCTTTTTGCCCTTCTGCCTTTCCTCAGCACACAGTGACACCAAAGGATTCCAAAACAAGGTGTCAACTTGGAAGCTAAAACTGCGTCTTTACTGGATAATAAACTTACTGGTGACTTTATTTTAACAACTGTCTTGTCCACAGCCCATTTGTGCCAAAAAAGTGGGGTAGGTTGCAAATAGGCCACATAAAGTGCGCAGAGACTGAATGGCAGACATATTATTTATAGGAGAAGGCATACAAGAAATCAGAGACTTTGATGTTAAATGAAATTTTAAAAGAGTTTTATTAATTAAAGTTTGATATTCATCTTATGCATATAGTGTAATTCAGTAGTTGTACTTTTGGGAAAATAATTCATAAAAATTTGGTCAAAGGCCTAACTAGAGAAATGGTAATTGTTGTCTGATGACATTCTTAAATTATCCTCAGTCCTGAGTGAATGTGATTACTATCTCCTTGACATGTGGAAGCTACTCATTACCAATGTGTAAATGTCATTCCTATTGTAAGAAATCAGAACCTCCTAAAAGTTATATATTAAAATCTTAGAATAAATAATACTGACAGAAGTGGAACCAACAGAAATGAGTTATTTGGACTTGATGCCTTCATGTCTCCAGGGTTTATACATTCCTTTCATTCCAACATGAAATATACCTTAGTTAACTTCGTTTTTTGAGCAGAAAGGAATATATTTTATCTAAAGGTGAAAGTGTGCTCCTCCCTTGATATAAATCATGAACACTCTTTGAGATTGCTTTTCTAAGGGAGATGATCAAATATTTTTCTCCTTGTCCCAAGCAATTAAGACTTTTCTAAAGAACAAAGGGAAAGCAGAAAATCATACTAACAATTAAAAATGTAAACATTGGAAAATAAAAATTAATAAAAAATTTAAGATACAGACAACCATTTAAGTAATTCATACAGGCAAAGTGAAAATGTTTTAGAACTGCAGTTTCCCCTCCGCCCACGCCCGCCAGAGCCTGTTCCTGTCGACTGATCAGAGACTGCGAATTCTCCACTCTGAGCCCCTCCGGACCACCCCGACCCCAGCTTTCTATCCTCTGAAAACACTAAGAATAATGTCCCTGCATCAGTTTTTACTAGAGCCAATCACCTGTCATGCTTGGAACAGGGATCATACCCAGATTGCCCTGAGCCCTAGTAATCATGAAGTGCACATCTATAAGAAGAACCGGGAGCCAGTGGATGAAAGCTCATGAACTCAAGGAATACAATGGACACATCACAGGTATTGTCTAGGTACTCCCAAGAGTGACCACATCGTCATTTGTGGGGCAGACTGCAATGCCTATGTCTGGAGTCAGAAAGATGGCGTCTGGAAGCCGACCCTGGTGATCCTGAGGATCAATCCCGCAGCCACTTTTGTGAAATGGTCCCCTCAAGAGAACAAATTTGCTGTGGGAAGTGGAGCACGACTCATTTCTGTTTGCTACTTCCAGTCTGAAAATGACTGGTGGGTAAGCAAACACATTAAAAAGCTGATCTGCTCCACGATCCTCAACTTGGATTGGCATCCCAACAACTTTTGCTGGCAGCAGGATCGTGCGACTTCAGATGCAGAGTATTTTCTGCCTGCATTAAAGAAGTGGATGAAAAGCCAGCCAGTGCACCCTGGAGCAGCAAGATGCCTTTTGGTCAGTTGATGTCAGAGTTTGGTGGCAGTGCCACTGGCGGCTGGGTCCATGGGGTCAACTTCTCTGCCAGTGGGAGCTATCTGGCCTGGGTCAGCCAGACAGCACCATGTCTGTTGCTGATGCCTCAAAAAATATCCAGGTCTCAACTCTGAAAACGGAGTTCCTGCCACTCCTGAGTGTATCATTTGTCTCGAAGAATAGCGTTGTGCCTGCTGACCATGACTGCTGCCTGATGCTGTTTAAATACAATGACCACGGCTGTTTGACCTTTGTCTCCAAGCTGGACATTCTAAAGCAGAGCATCCAACGCAACATGTCTGCCATGGAACGCTTCTGCAACATGGACAAGAGGGCCACCACCGAGGACTGCAATACGGCCTTGGAAACGCTGCACCAGAATAGCATCACTCAAGTGTCTATTTATGAGGTGGACAAACAAGATTGTCGCAAATTTTGCACTACTGGCATCATGGAACCATGACAATTTGGGATTTCAAGACCTTATAATCTTTGATCCAGGGCCTCCAGATAATGTGAAGCTGTGTGAGCCTCCCGCGTCCAGCAGGAGAAACATGGCTGCCTGCCCCTCTGCCCCCAGCATGACGGTGAGGAGAGCAGCCCCGGGAAACCCTGTAAACACATATTGCGCAAACATTGTGTGTTTTTGTTTAAATATAATTGGTGAAAATGTTGGTTTTTTTAAAGGCAACAGTGGTTTGTTTTGTTTTGTTTTTTGCTACTTCATTCCATTCTTGACCGAAGCTTCTGTTCAAGTAGTTCATTATGGAAAATTGTCACATTAACTTAAAGGAAAGAGTGAGGGAGATATGTAAAATGTCTGCTAGAAAATTAAATGAAAATCCCAAATGTGAAAAAAAAAAAAAAAACTGCAGTTTCCCACACTAGGGAGATCTTCGGAGCTGCATACAATAAAACTGTAAGCTATTAACATATTCAAGAAAGATGATTAAAATAAATGTACACCAAAATT